GTTGGGTGGGTTGTTTTTTAAGCATGCTATTTTTACGTTTCGTCAGCTCTGTAATAAATCATGTCACGATTTTATACTGATTAATGGCTTACTCGACCGTTTGAACAGCGCAGTTGTTTATGGTGCAGAATAAGGCGTTTTGATAGTCTGTTACCAAATATCTGTTTGATAATGATCTTGTAATAGATGTTGTTATGAAATGTAGCAGTTGCATGTTGACTATATATCAGTTTTAGTTTCTTTCGGGCTACCATTTTCTTTTGTCACTGCGGTTTTTACCTTGTTTTGGATACTTTCTCCCAAGCTGTCTTTCATTTCGAAGAATATTGCGTTTGGAGGTATTAGTCAAAGCTTCGCTTTTTAGCTCTTTCTGTCTTTTCAGTTTCCTGTTTGTTTGTATGACGTTGAAATATTAGTCTGGTAGGGCGGAATTGGCGTGCTGCAGATGATTGCGGATTCAAATGATTAAGATTCATTTTTAATAGCTAAGTGTCTTTTGTTTAGATGTTTAGGGGTCTACAATTTTCTGTTAGTCCGATTGTATTTCTTGGATGAACTGTTGTTTGGTAGTGGATGATTGAATTCACAGTATCTTAAACTTGTGACATTCTTCTGACTTTGTAATGGTCCTATGTGCTTTGTTTTTCAGTAATAAAATTGTTTAAAAACGGTATTATCTCAGCGTAGCCAAATTTTCGTGTGGTGATATGCTGGGATTGTTTTGATCATTTGTTAGCTTCAGGATGTCTTCGGGAACGTCGGGTGCCAGCCGAAAGAAAGCTCTTTTAAAGGTGATTATTCTTGGGGACTCTGGGGTTGGAAAAACATCGTTAATGAATCAATATGTGAATAAAAGGTTCAGTAATCAATACAAAGCGACAATTGGTGCTGATTTCTTGACTAAGGATGTCATGATCGATGATCGGATGGTAACAATGCAGGTCAGTAGCAGTTTAAAGAATTGTGCAAAAAGAAGCCTTTTCCTTAAAAGAGCAGCAATGACAAACAGGGATCAAACCTCAGTTTTGAATTTTTTAATCTCACATTCCGGTATTGTTGTTAAGGTTGCATTTAGATTTGGGATACTGCTGGACAGGAACGGTTCCAGTCATTAGGCGTTGCATTTTACAGAGGTGCTGACTGCTGCGTCCTTACTTACGATATAACAAATGCAAGTTCTTTCAAAAGCCTTGACTCTTGGCGGGATGAGTTTTTAATCCAAGCAAGGTTTGTTGTTGTTTTTTCTTGGGAATGCTCTCTGTATAAATATGTTGGCGGTTCAGGTGAATGCTTTTCTTCTCGTAGTTTATTTAATGTATCATTGTTGTATTCTGTCATGGCTATATGTTTAACGGACTTCAGCCCACGTGACCCTGAACATTTCCCGTTTGTGCTTCTTGGTAACAAAATTGATCTGGAGACAAATCGAGCTGTCAATTCGAAACGGGCGCAGTCGTGGTGTCAGTCGAAAAACAATATCAAATATTACGAAGTAATCAATTACATCAACTTTAATTAACTATCTGCATTTCACTTATTGATTTTTGTCATTCATCAGCTTTTCTAGGTATCCGCCAAAGAAGCTGTAAATGTTGAGCAGGCCTTTATTGAGATTGCCAGAGACGCTCTGCAAAGAGAGGCTCGTGATGTGCAAGATTTCCCCGAGTTCCCAGACCAAATCCGTCTTGATAATCGGCAAACTTCACAGCCGTCTGGTGGTTGTAACTGTTAATGAGATGGATATGGTACTGGTAGCAACTTGCGCATTTCCAAACAAATTTTGATACGTGTTTTCTACTTCTTCTTAACCAGTAATACTTGTTTGTCTTTATATCCTTGGATGCTTTGTCCTTAACTTCTTAAAATTTTTGATTAATAGTTTAGTGTTTCAAAAAAGCGTTTAATAAGGTGTAATTTGCTTCTTTTTACGGAAGCATGATAGGGAGGGGAAGCGGGTAGAGGTCGGGAAGCATCGGATACGCATGGATCATGGTATAATTTTTGTAAGAGAACTTTGCGTTTTGGAACAGATTTTTGTGCATCTGCACACTATGTGATTTGTTAGTCTTTCTTCCTCAACTCGGGCGATATCATTGACGCGAAGTTCACAGAAATGCATCACGATTATTATTGACAAGAAGTGTACTTTAATTTGATGTTTTTTACTTCTATATATTGCAGTATTTCCATTTTCCCAAAACTAGGAGCTCGTTAAAGCTCTGCTACCTTCTACATTTGCTTATTTAAAATACCACTGGGGCTTATGAGTTTAGCAGTGTCGGTTGTTGAAGGTTTCTTATTGTATTTTTTCTCAGCAAGGATAGATAAGCTCTCTTGTCTCATGTTCTTGTGCGTTTAAGAGGAAAGTATTGTTTGCATAGTTTTAGTCATACGTATGTGTCGACTTTTTCACTCACCTAATAATTGCGGTGTTTTGCTGTAGTTTCTTTGGAAGGGACACGGAACTACAGTTATATGTATGGTTGACTTGTTTTAGCGACAAATCGATGCCCGGTGCATTCAAAATGTCCTGGTATGAGTGTTTTGCACAAGTTGGAAACTTTTTGGATTAGCAAACCAGAAGTCTGACAAGTTTCTTTCTGTGCACGATTTTAACATTTTAAAGTGTTCCATTTTTCCTTAATTTCTTTTAGAATTCACTGACTGAGGGCGCTTTGTTGTATTTCGTGATTCCTTATTTTCTCCTGTTATTACTTTGACTCGTTTTTCGTTGCTTCTGAACTTTCTGTGGGATTCTTGTTCAGATTATTTGCACATGTTTTATATAGTTGTTACACAAATTTTTTGCGACATAAAAATAAATTTTTGCTTTTCGTCATGAACACTAGACCATTTAAGTTCAGTTTTTTACGGGTTGAAAGCGAATTTCGCTTCTAGTTTCAGCTTTCAAATCAGAAGGGGTGAAGGAGTTTTCAATGTTAGGGTTTTCGATTGGATGGGAATCTGCTAGAACGTGATTTTCAATTGCTCGACAGAACAAGAAAGGAATTAATTTTACTTGATGGTTTTAGTGGTAGAGAGTGCGGATAGGGAGGGATTAGGTGCTGCGCGTTCTCGAGTGTAGCCAGAGGGTAGCGGCGAAAGCGCACAAGTTTGTTGCGAGTTGGAATCCGGACATCATTTTTGAGCAGTTTTCGGGTGAGCAGATCGGGAAGGATGAGTGTTCGGTCATAAAAATTAGCAATCCGAAGTCTCGGAAACAAGCGATTAAAGCGAAGGATAAGATGGAGAGCGACCAAAGTAATGTGATTCTTTTATACCCGTGCAGTTCGAAGAGCATTTGTGGCATCATTGTCCAGAATGCACCGTGCACAATCCCTGCAGTACTGTACGAGAAGTCATCAGCAGGTGCCTAAATTTTACTTTCAGAGCTTGTCTGACAGTCTTGTTTCAGATGAGAAAACAATTGGAAAAGAGGGACAGCATTTGACATACCTCATTTTGAACGATCGCAACGGCCAAAAACAAGGAGCGTATCGCGATGACAATGGTTAGAAATAGTGCACGGGGTATAGAGCGCCAAGTGCCCAGAAAAGAAGCTAGGCAGGATGTTCCTACGGATAGGGTTAATCGCCATAATGGGGCTTTCTGTAAACTTTCTGTGACTGGAGAGTTTTTGAAAACACTACAAACTGCAGACAAGTGTCTTTATTTTCCTTTGGCAATTACCGGTGTACGGGAAACTGGCATGTTTACTGCTGTTGCAACTGCGAAGGTAACAAGATGTGGTATTGCAGCACGTAGGTCGGCGAAAACTCTCTTGAAACGACTTGTTGCTGGTAGAAGCGGGGTACGTAGCATGGGTTCCGTAAAACCCACTTCTGATTCGGCGATCGATTCTATAAATAGTTGGCTTAGTTCAACTAACAAATTGACAACTTTCACTGTTTTACGATAGTTTGTCTATCTACCTGTATCACTTCCCGGGTACTCGTAGGCGGGAAGCGTAAATCTTCTTGCTTCTCCAACTACACGTACAGGCTGTTCCACTGTTGGTGAAGTTCTAAAATCTTATTTATTTAACCCTTAGTTCTTAAGTTGAATTTTCAAATACCATTTGGAATTTTTTGTCAAAGCTGGAGACTGTTCGAATTTGTAAGTTTTTGAAACCGAGGCGGTTTTTCTTGTCGGTTTCTGTAGAAAGTGATTTGATTTTCATTTTTCTTCGAAAAAATCAAAGGTGGAATTTTATTTACTGAGGTTGAACAACAAACCGTAATGAAATCTTGGGTATAGAAGAAAATAAATGTTTCTTATCGACAAAAAAAAAA